CTGTTCCAGTACCAGCTGCCCCAGCGCCAGCTGTTCCAGTACCAGCTGTCCCAGTACCAGCTGCCCCAGTACCAGCTGTTCCAGTACCAGCTGTCCCAGTACCAGCTGCCCCAGTACCAGCTGCTCCAGTACCAGCTGTTCCAGTACCAGCTGTTCCAGTACCAGCTGTCCCAGTACCAGCTGCCCCAGCACCAGCTGCCCCAGTACCAGCTGTCCCAGTACCAGCTGCCCCAGCACCAGCTGCCCCAGTACCAGCTGTCCCAGTACCAGCTGCCCCAGCACCAGCTGCCCCAGTACCAGCTGTCCCAGTACCAGCTGCCCCAGTACCAGCTGCTCCAGTACCAGCTGTTCCAGTACCAGCTGTTCCAGTACCAGCTGTCCCAGTACCAGCTGCCCCAGCACCAGCTGCCCCAGTACCAGCTGCCCCAGTACCAGCTGCCCCAGCACCAGCTGCCCCAGTACCAGCTGCCCCAGTACCAGCTGCCCCAGCACCAGCTGCCCCAGTACCAGCTGCCCCAGCACCAGCTGCCCCAGCACTAGTAGTCAATTACAGCCACAACCAATTACAACCGAAACCAATTAAAAACACATCAATTACAAACATCCAATTACGGCCATAACCAATAATAGCCATAACTAATTATTGACACGACCAAGTACAGCCGTAAGGAATTAAAAAATTCTTGCAGTTACCTTGAGGTGATTTCGGGGCTTAGCGTCCCCGCGGCCCGGTCGTCGACCAGGCCTCCTGGTTGATGGACTGGTCAACCAGGCTGTTAGACGCGGCTGCTCGCAGCCTGACGTATGAGACACAGCCTGGTTGATCAGGTATCCTTTGGAGGTGTTTATCCAGTTCTCTCTTGAACACTGTGAGGGGTCGGCCAGTTATGCCCTTTATGTGTAGTGGAAGCGTGTTGAACAGTCTCGGGCCTCTGATGTTGATAGTTCTCTCTTGAACACTGTGAGGGGTCGGCCAGTTATGCCCCTTATGTGTAGTGGAAGCGTGTTGAACAGTCTCGGGCCTCTGATGTTGATAGTTCTCTCTCAGAGTACCTGTTGCACCTCTGCTCTTCAACGGGGGTATTCTGCACATCCTGCCATGCCTCCTGGTTGTATCAACACGGAATTGACTCCTGATGTGGCGTGCCTGGCCAGCCACCAACATCCTCCTCCTGCTGCTGTTTCTGCTGCTGCTGTTTCTACTGCTGCTGCTGCTGCTCTTCCTCGTGATGCTGCTGTTTCTGCTGCTGCTGCAGCTCCTCCTCCTGCTGCTGCTGCCCCTGCTGTTTCTGCTGTTGCTGCTTCTCCTCGTGCTGCTGCTGCTGCTGCTGTTGATCACGGCGACGTTGTTATGATGCCAAAAATTATCTCATCTTCCCCCGTCATACTTTTCTGGCAGACAATTTCCTCTGACAAAGACATTCATCTGAGGACCCGTCAGTCGCCCTCGTCTCACGCCGCCTCCCTCCCGCCCTTCGTCGTTACATATTTTATCCTGGTCTCGTAATTGTATTAATTTGTTATGCACCTCATACCCATCTTGTGACCTTACACACTTCAAGTATAACAATATTTATGTACAACACAACTCATATACAACACTGATGTATTACACAACAACACAACTCATATACAACAGTAATATACAACAGAGCCGAGCGAAGCATTAATACACCACACACACGAGGAATCATTATATATTTCTCCCTGGCCTTAAATACAGACGTTAAACACATTAGGACAACAGTGGAAGCCAAGCTTGGAAATGGTTAGCGTCGCATACAACACTGGGTGGGGGGGGGTATTTTGTATACAACACTGCCCACAGGATGGGTATGGGGGTGCCCCCATCTCCACCCTCACCTGCACACACCCACACCTTCCTCCTCACATCTCTCACCTCTCACATCTCTCACCTCTCACACCTCACTGTAGCCTCATTCACAGTATATATGCCGGTAAATATACGGTATACTAATGTCAACAACTAAGATATGACCCATGGTGGTGAGGGAGGGAGGGAGAGAGAGAGAACTATTGGAGGGAACCTCCACCACCATCATATTCTCCCCCCAATACCCCCACCCCCACTATCCCCCCCACCCCCCATTACTCCTCCAAGAAACATCACAGGCATCAAAAGTCTTGACTTAAGACAAGTGCCGTGTTTGAACGCTACTTAATGCTATTACCAATGCCAATTTAAGCTCCAAAACCGTTTAAACGATTTTACGATTTCTAGAAAACGATTTTTAAACGGTTTTCCATTTAAAAAAAAACTATTTTAAACTGAATTTTAAAAAACGAATTTTAAACGTTTTTAAAAAACGATTTTTAAACGGTTTAAAAAACGAGTTTTCTATTAAAAACGAAGTTTAATCTTGGAAGATCAATAACAGGTGTGCCGTGAACGTTGTAGGGTTCAGCTGAGACCCTTAGAGAACTGTTGTCACATGACTTACCACAGCCAGTTAAGTTGACCAGACCACACACTAGAAAGTGAAGGGACGACGACGTTTCGGCCTGTCCTGGACCATTCTCAAGTCGATTCACTCGACATGGGAATAGTCCAGGACGGACCGAAACGTCGTCGTCCCTTCACCTTCTAGTGGTCTGGTCAACTTATTGACCAGACCACGTTATTGTGACTCATCGCCTGCAGCCAGTTAATGGGTCAAACGGCATTACAGCGACACGGAATTATTGACCGATATCCGGGAATGACTTAATTCATGGGCTTAGCGTACGAGGGCGCCTCGTAGGGGCCGCTGAGCTGTCCAACCTTCTGTGTTGTTGGCTCCAAGTGCACACACCCCAGGCACCACCACACACAATGATCACCTGTGATATATACGATCTCGTGCCTCGTAATTAATATCAAATTTCTCCAGTATATATGAGAGAGAGAGAGAGAGAGAGAGAGAGAGAGAGAGAGAGAGAGAGAGAGAGAGAGAGAGAGAGAGAGAGAAACCCAGAGAGAGACACACACAGAAAGACAAGAGAGACACGGATCGATACAGAAGAAGAGAGAAAGAGAAGGAGAGAAAGAGAGAAAAGGAGAGAAAGAGAGAGAAGGAGAGAGAGACACTGCACATGACAAATCTGACAGGCATGTAAATGGGTGACAAAACCCTAGAGTTTACAGAGAAAACTGACATCATGGGAATGAAGTTGGACTCTTCCATGACAATGAAGAGCCACGTGCTGAACCCAGCTCACAAGGCAGCCATGAGACTTACAGCTCTACGGCACATCTCACACCTTCTTGACAGCAGTGGCTGCAAAACCTTACATGAAGCACAAGTTCGCTCTCATCTAGAGTATGCACCACTCTCCTGGACCCCCTGCCCCCCCCATCATTCACCAGACTGTTAGACAAAGTAGAGAGACGGACAAGAAGGCTCACCTCAGTCTTGACCAAGTCTGATGGGAAAGGTCTCAACATCAGAGCCTGCAACACCGTCGTGACGTTGGTGGTCCTACTGTTATATAGAAGGCCAACATCCTCAAAGTTCCGCACCTGGCCCAACTCCGTGGACTACCGGTAGTTGCCACCCATAGCACTAGGCTCTCAACCATCAACAGTCTCGTGCTGGAAGTGCCTTTCTGAACAACATCACTTCATCAGCGATCATTCACTCCCAGGCTGACTCGCATCTGGAACTGGTTCACTCAACAGGTTGACACACGGGAGATCAGGTCAACTGATCACATGAAGGCTCTGGCACAGTTGGGTACAGGCTCATCCTGTAGGATAACAGCTCTTGCTTGCAGTTTCACTAGGTTCGTTGTTTGACAGCACTTATGAACCCTAGTTAAAAAACCAGCACCAGCTGCTATATGTGGACCATCTGGACTATTGAGCCAACCCGTCTCTCTCTCTCTTACAAATAACGTCGCCTGTACGGCCAAAAATTACCGTACTAGAATGTAAAAATTCATTTTCTAAATGAAATGGACCCAAAAGAGCAAGTTATAAAGAGATGGTGACCATCCTCTATAGGGCCGGACACTACATACCTCACCTCCCCACAGCACTCTGTGTCCCATGTATTGACCCTGTAGCTTCTGTGGTGCTAGGGCAATGGGTTTGCTGGATCACAGCACACAGCCCTGTGCGTCACAGCACACAGGTCTGTGCGTCACAGCACACAGGCCTGTGGTGGTGTCACGTGGATGCTGGGATGTTCCGTAGATGACGGAGAGATGCTACTCTGAGGCTAGGTCATCTCATCCCCGCCTGGCCCGTCCTAGAGTGATGCCTGGCTGTGTGTGTGGACGGAGCTGCCTTCTTCCGCCCAGAGTGGAGGTCCATTTCCCCTTCCGCCTGAGCTAACGTAATCTACGGCCTCCTAATTTACCCGTCCGGCCAGCGGGCCTAGCGTGGGGAAGACATCTTTACTCTGGAGGGAGGCAGGGAGATGGTGAAGCAGCAGCAGCACCATACCCCACAACAGGGGTAACAGCAGCACCATACCCCACAACAGGGGTAACAGCAGCACCATACCCCACAACAGGGGTAACAGCAGCACCATACCCCACACAACACGGGTAGCAGCGGCACCATACCCCACAACAGGGTAGCAGCGGCACCATACCCCACAACAGGGGTAACAGCAGCACCATATCCCACAACAGGGGGTAGCAGCGGCACCATACCCCACACAACAGGGGGTAACAGCGGCACCATACCCCACAACAGGGGTAACAGCGGCACCATAACCTACAACAGGGGTAACAGCAGCACCATACCCCACAACAGGGGGTAACAGCGGCACCACTCCCCACAACAGGGGGTAACAGCAGCACCATACCCCACAACAGGGGTAACAGCAGCACCATACCCCACAACAGGGGTAACAGCGGCACCATACCCCACAACAGGGGGTAACAGCGGCACCATACCCCACAACAGGGGGTAACAGCGGCACCATACCCCACAACAGGGGTAACAGCAGCACCATACCCCACAACAGGGGTAACAGCAGCACCATTCCCCACAACAGGGGTAACAGCGGCACCATACCCCACAACAGGGGTAACAGCGGCACCATACCCCACAACAGGGTAGCAGCAGCACCATACCCCACAACAGGGGGTAACAGCGGCACCATACCCCACAACAGGGTAACAGCAGCACCATACCCCACATCAGGGTAACAGCAGCACCATACCCCACAACAGGGGTAACAGCAGCACCATACCCCACAACAGGGTAACAGCAGCACCATACCCCACAACAGGGGGTAACAGCGGCACCATACCCCACAACAGGGGGTAACAGCGGCACCATACCCCACAACAGGGGGTAACAGCGGCACCATACCCCACAACAGGGGGTAACAGCGGCACCATACCCCACACCAGGGGTAACAGCAGCACCATACCCCCAACACAGGGGTAACAGCAGCACCATTCCCCACAACAGGGGTAACAGCGGCACCATACCCCACAACAGGGGGTAACAGCAGCACCATACCCCACAACAGGGGTAGCAGCAGCACCATACCCCACAACAGGGGGTAACAGCGGCACCATAC